TATATATATATATATATATATATATATATATATATATCCACTATATAATAAAACACTTTTTCAGGTGAAGAACTGTGGTTACATCATAAATTTGGGAATTTTTTTATTTATTTTAAAGACTTAACTCGTAAAATTGTGCCAGTTTACAAATAAAATGTTATATTTCATGTGCAGCTGTTGCCTCATGAGATGGTCTTAGAGCGTGTATTTTCCTCATGTTTAAAAACGGACATGTGGTAGACTATCAAAGGAAAGGGGGTGCGTTAGTGCCACCTACTTCCAAATTAAAACAGACAACCTACATCTATGAGTAGTGTGTCAGGTCATCATCTGTCTTGCTGTTAATGCTGTCTCCTGAAAAGCAGGAATTTCATTGCATCCTGAACGTTCTTTGTTTCGCTTTCTCTTCTTTATCTCTAATTCCAGGGTTTAGAGATTGTTTTCCGTGTTGGATTGGCCATCCTTCAGATGAACCAGGTTGAGCTCATCCGGCTTGACATGGAGGGAATGTTACAGGTACGTAACTCCTTACTTAGGCATCTCAGATTTCAGGTGCAATGTGCACTTTGTTTGCAGGGAGTAACCTCCACCTCACCCACTTGGTTTATACATGCGTCCTACCTGCTCACACCTGTGGACATGCTTCCTGTGAAGGCAGAACTCGGAGGTCAGGGAGTGCTGAGCAACAGAATGCACACCTGCGTGGCTCTAATCCGACTTGTTTCTTTTTCTGCAGCTCTTTCAGAGAGTCGTCCCACGTCAGTTTGACAGCGAGCCAGATAAAGTCATCCAGGCTGCGTATCAAGTCAAATACAACGCTAAGAAAATGAAGAAGTAAGCACAACTCATGATTTAGACTTAATCTCCTTAGTTCCTTAATCTGATTCTTTTAGACAGTTAGATGTGTACTTTTTTTTTACTGTTCAGCCTTCACTGAGAACAGACTTAAGTATTTCGCACTTTAGGAAATAATTTTACAAAATCATATTTTGTGCATGATAGTTTTACACATAAATGTGTTTTTAATATTTTATTAGAAGACGTACGTTTCTTTTATTTTTCAGGTTGGAGAAAGAATACACTACAATCAAAACAAAAGAAATGGAAGAGCAGGTGGAAATAAAGGTGTGTGATTCAAATGTATGTCTGAAATTCACCACCAATCAGCCATATCATTATGACCATCCACCTAATGATGAGTAGTAGCCCTGATGTTTTGAGCCGTGGAGTCTACTGGACCTGTGAAGGTTCTCTGTGATGTATCTGGCTGGGAATTGTTCAGAGATGGAGTCTTCATGGATCAAACATTTTGTCTTACTCAAATGATTCTTGAATTAATGTCATGTAAATCACATTTTTTGGATGATTGTTTCCTCTGGTATCGGATGCTGTGCAGCTGGAAGGATTTTTACTGAAACTTTAAGTTTTGGACAGTTGTTATGATGCGTAACCATGGCAACAAGGCAGTTTTCTACAACCAACTGCAGCTAATTAACATCTCAAAAGCTCAAATAATATCTCAACTAGAGCCCTAAATCTAAAATGAGTTGAAAAGGATGTTCTGTGGACGCATTCTCATCTACCTGCCAGCTGTGCTCGAGTGCCTGACCACTGAGATCCTGGAACTAACAGAAAACACGGCTCATGACAGCGGAAGGACGGGATAGTCCCTCAGCACCTACAGTTGGCTGTCCGCAGCTATGTGGAGCTCGGCTGACTGCTGGGAGGAGTGGCCATCGCTCTGGGAGGAGTTCTGCCTGGCATTCAGGCGGTCCTACAGCCCGGGGGAACCGAGAGGCCAGCTGAGTCCGGGTGGACGGATCGGACAGCATCTTCAGCCAGTTTTTTAGGATCCACTGTGGGATGGACTTTTACAAGAGATCCTTCCTGTCTACAGCATCAGTATCTATAACATCTCTGAATGAAATGAGGATAACGAGTTACAGCAACAAATAATTTTCCTTTGGGATTAATAAAGTATTTTTGAATTTGAATTGAATTGAATTTGAATGATGCAGCAGTGTGCTTTTTTTTGTATTTTTTTCCCCTGATAAAAAAAAGCTATTTCTCTCAGAACAAGCAATTCCCTAAAAGGTGTGAACTTAGTGGGCAATAGGGTCAGAATCAGCTTTATTGTCATTGCACCGAAGCACAACGAAATTGCATTTCAGTACAGCCCATCTAAAGAAACACAAACAACAGACAGGGTAGATGGGGTGTCTGAGGCTGCAGCCTCACTGAGAGGTGCTTCCTTTTTCATTAGATTAGAAAAAGGGGAACACGAGGGAAGAAGCGGTAAAAGAATCATCTAACAGGACACAGCGTGAGGCTGCAAGAGACCACAGCACCAAAAAAGCAATATATAGACATGAAGACATACTGCTGACATAAAGACATATGCATGTGAAGTGGGTGAGGGTGGGGGTCCCAGCACAGGCAGCCCAACTGAGCGACGTAGCCACTGGCGCTTTCACACCTACCTAGGTTGCTGCACCCGGGGGGGACAATGAGGGAGGCCAGTGAAGACAGTAAATTTGATGGGAAGTAGTCCATGAGCACTATCCAGATAGCCTCACTCCCCCCACCAGCCATAATCCTGATGAGAGATGGTGCAGTGTTTAACAGCCGGCTCGGTAGAGCTCTGAATCAGGTCCATGTCCTTGGGGAAGTGAGTGGGGAGGGGAGGGGGAAGCAGAACGTCGAGATAGTTAACCTTCCAAGGCCGACGCCGGGGAGCCAGATTCAGATAGCAACATTTGTTCTGGGTCAGGCCGAGCTCTGTTAATTCCCCTCAGTCTCACTAGTACATCTCAGTGGCGATTCCAGACATTCTCCAAAGATTCTCTGAGATCTATTCCTTCCTGCCAACGAGATTCGGCTCGCACAACATTTGAGTCCGAGGGTTGACAGCACGGCACGTTCCTTCACACATGCCGGGCAGCCTTACAATGGCCAGAACAGCTGCCGACGTCTTCCAAATTTGTCGATATGCCAGGTAACCACCAACTCCAAAAAGCAGAAATCCTGTTATCATAAATCCAATTATGTACACATCTTCAGCGTCCTCAACTGACAAGATAGACATACACACGATCTTCCACTTCCCCCAGGAATCCATCGTGTATCCAGCTGCCAGTGTCCCGTCAGGGCAGGAGGGCTCTCCTTCGCCCTGTCTTCTCGTCGAGAAAATTTGATCAATTGCGTTGAGAGACCAGCTGACCAGATTCATAATTTACAAGTTTTGGAGTGATAGAGTAAAATATTTTGGTCAACTGCCATCTGTCCAACAATCGATTGACAGAACTGAACTTCCAGTTGGTGCTGTGTTTATGCAGGTGTGTTTCAGGTTGTTTAAGGAGGGGCAGGATGAGCAAGTCCATGGTCCAGTTGCTCAGCCCTTGTTGGCATAAATATTAATGTGTTTTACAGTTCACATGAACTTGTCATTATAATGCTAAACAGTAATATTTGTAGTTAATCTCTGACATGTAACCCTAAAGGAGAATTTGCAGTCTAAACAAACACAATATAATTGTGTTGTCCTGCTTTTTGTGGTTTGGAGTTCGTCGTAAACGAAAATAAGGATGCTGGATTTCTTGTATCTTGGTGTGCTTTATTGTCCCCTGTCGCAGAGCAAAGAGGGGGTTCTGGAAATACCCTCCATACGTATTTACATGTTGTGAGCATGATGACTAGAAAAATGAGTGAGGAACCGACTTTCTACCTGGTCAACTTTTCTGATGATCCAGCACTCAACCTTTCTGCAAGGTTCAGAGTCGGACCACGGTGGTACATCACCTGCTTTCGTGAACTGGAGAGATGACCGTTATCTTGATCTTAATGTTTCTGAGCTTGTGGTGGATTTTAGTAAAAACGGGAGAATGCCTAAACTCGGCTCTACTCGTAGAAAATCTGTGGAAATTATGAACTCATGCAAATATTTGGGAACTGTTTGATTCCAAACTAAACTTTGATGTGAACACTGACTGTATTGTCAAGTGAGGTCAGCAGAGAATCCATTTACTGAGGAAGCTAAATTCTTTTAATATCCGTAAGGAAATTTTGTCATTTTCATCTGTTGTTTATTGAAAGTATTTTAACTTTTTCCTTTATTTGTTTGTACCGTGGTCTGTCTGTAAAGGATAAGATCAGCCTTCTGAGCATTGTTAAGGTTTGCTCCTAAATAACTGTGGTCCAACAGAGGGACCTGCTGTCCTTGTGGGAGAAGCAGGTGCAGAACCAGAAGTAGGGAAATAGTATCCAGATGAAATCATATCCTGTCTTCTGACTTTTTACTGATGCCTTCAGACTGCCGCTTTATGAACATCATGCAGGAAGACAGACAGACTGTCACTCCTTTATTCCTTCTGCCATCAGGCTGCTGAACCTTGTGACAAGAACCGGTTTTGGATCAGCACAATACCAGATCACAGGAATGGGTTAAATATGTTTATTGTAAACGCATCACTTCTGGTCGAGGTCTGGGTCCTGGGGCCAGTCCAATCTGTCAAGACAAAAGAGTTAGTGGACTAGTTCTTGGAGAAGGGATGTTGAGAGGTTCTGAGGTTAACACTAACTATCTGTCTTGATGGTATGTCTAGAGCTGTAGTCTCGCTGTAGCCGTTGACGTCACTCAGGGAGAGTGAGCAGCAGCAGCGGGGCAGTCCAGGCTTGTTTAGGGTCCAGTGGGAGAATCAAGGTTTGTGGTCCAGTAGACGTAGCAAGGTTCATGCACGGTTGAGCAGAGAGGAGAAGCCAGAGCTAAAACGTGATCAAAGAGAAGTCAAGAGGGAATCTGAGTTGTGACCGTGGTCAGATGCTCAGACAAATCCAGAAAGGGCAAGGTAAGGCTAGGAGTCAAAAAACAGGCAGAGGTTCGTGGTCAAGGCAAGAGTCAAAAACAAGGAATGCTGGATTTCTACTACTGGAAAAGGTTCAAGAATCTGGTACTGAATGAGGGTGAACAGGGAGCTTAGGAAGGGAGATGAACAGGTGTGATGGATGAAGCTGATTGCAGTGGCAGGGCAGAGGAGGTGTGGTGCAGAGTGACATGAGCTGAAAACATTTGGCAGGGAAAAACAAAACATGAGACATGACCGGCTAAGGTAAGAAGGGGACAAAAATGTGACACCTTGCTAGCTGCTCTCACTTATTCCTTCAGCTTTACTGCAAAGTGGTTGAATTGTGATACTGATCTCTGTTGGTTTGTTATTGTGCAATATGTATTTTAATACTTTTAAAGATTTTTGTATTTATATTTTTGTGGTTTTGTTTATTGTTATTGCTTTTAGGTATGAATGGTAAATGGACTGTACTTGCATGTAGCACCTTTCTACCTAGTCTACATAGTCAAAGTGCTTTACAACACAATCTGTGCCTCATTTACACGTTCATACAGCACTCTACTAGATCTCTACAAAGATAAATTCACAAATAATTCTACAGAGACTAATCAGAACTTTAGATCACATTCATACACCAATGGGACACACATCGGAGGCAATGAGGGGTTCAGTGTCTTGCCCAAGGACACTTATGCCCCTTTTCCACCGTCACGGCGCATGTCGGATATTTCCGGGTTGAAGCGCGTTTGAGGTCTTTCCACTGTTCCAGAAACCGGCTCGCCTCGCTAAATTCTGGCCCGGCTTCTCAAGGGTTCCGAGCGAGCCGCGCCGTGACGTCAGAAACACTGTCGGTCATTGATTGGTCGGGGGGAGGAGTCTGTGGAGTCGTTCCAAACAACCCGATCCACCATTTTTTCTCTACCGCTTTCCATTAGCGATAACACGAGGAACGTATCTTTTAGTATTTTGAAGCTATACAACAACAATAATATCAAAGCTGTGGTCAAATGCAGAAGTGCAGGTGTTGTTGTGCTTGGTGGCCGACGAAAAAAGTCAAAGCGAGCTAGATGGAGGATTGGAGGGTGGTTTGGACACGACTACTGCTCTACTTGAATCATTTATAGAAGATGGTGAGTGTTTTCTATCTTTAAACATATTTTAAATTACTCATCCCATCGGTTCTGAACATATTTTTAACTAACAAAAGAGGCTGACGCCATAATAGGACAACGTCGGTGCTACGATGCTAAGCTAATTTGCATAAATGCTAACTGTCCTCCG